CTTAAGTCACCTTGTCGGTGCACTCTGCAATAAGCAAGAGAGAAGCTGACCGCATCTTATGCACTTCGGTGGCGATACCCGTTACCTCTAGGATCACCTTCCCTTTTTGACTTAGTGAACTGCCCTTCCACGAACGCCAGTGTTTTCTTCAGAAAATATTCTAAGGTTATTTTTCCACTATCTGCTCTGAGGCAGTAACGCGAAGTACAATTTTTGATATCACAGCATGCATGTTAGCAAATAGGGACCTCAAAGCTATACACATACATGTCGCTCAAATAAATGCTTCTCATCTCAATCAGACGAGCTTATTCAGCAAACTCGGCCGCCTCCCACCCTTCTCCTGTGCTCGCAGTCATGTAACGGGACGCTTCATGAACCTGCATTATTTCTTTTTCTTTGTTTTCTCTACAGGATCTCTCCTTCCAAGACAAGCACTGGCATGAGGCCTGTTTCCTGTGCAGTCAGTGCCAAAAGAGCCTTTCGGACAAGCCATTTGCCACCAAGGACAACAGCATCTACTGTCCGGACTGTTATGATGAGAAGTTCGCCGCGCGCTGTGACGCCTGTGGCAAAACCTTCAAGGCGGCCATGCGCAAGTACGAGTACAAGGGCGGTGCCTGGCACGAGGAGTGCTTCCTCTGCAGCGAGTGTAAACAACCCATTGGCACGAAGAGTTTCATTCCTCGCGGTGATGCCATCGTCTGCATTGCCTGCTATGAGGACAAATTTGCCCAGAAGTGTGAAAAATGCAAACAGGTATGTGACCATCTTTTTGCGGCGGGTTATTTTGGTTCTTGACAGAGACCAAACCTAGACTGATAGTTGAGAAGAAAGAGGTTCGAGCGCTTGGCCAACACCTTTTATTCTCCTGACGTTTCGAAATCTGTCATGGATTCACCATCAGGGAAATAAGTAACAAGGAAAAGGAATAACGGAACAGAACGGAACGGAAACAGAAAGCATTGCCGACAAAGACAAAAGAGACTAGTACGGTCATTTCTGGCTTATTAGCCGTCGTCAGCCAGTCATACCCAGACCCAAGTGATGCACTACCAGAGGCTCGAACTCGCAACCTTTTCCGAGTCTAACGCTCTAACCATTGGGCCACAAGCTTGTCGTCTTCCTGGCTTAGATATTGACACTTGTTGATCATCGTTCACCTCTCGCTGACGGAACTCACTCACGGAACTCAGGGCCCGAGGAATAACACCCAAGGAAGAGCGGGACGAGTAACTTCCGTTAGCGATCCCTGAAAGTGTATCAACGAGACACCAAACTTGGTCCCTTTCAGGATTTCGAGTCGTCTCTGCCTCCGGTCTGGTGGCGTGACTTTCGAGGACATTGACTGGCAAAGATTGATAGGGCCGTTCTGACTGGGCGTTAGTGGCCAGGATGACTCACCCACAATTCTTGGTAGAACCTCGACTGTTTGGAAGCATGACCTTTAGTCAACCAGGCGCGCGAGAACATTGACCAGGTTGGGATGAAAGTTCGCAGGAAACTGTAGCAACTCTCAGCTCTGCTGAAGTCAGACTCCGCTTGGTTGGCCAACCTATGCTTACGTGTCAAACGCGTCCTAATGCCACCCCATTTGAACGTAGAATGGATATGTACTCTCAGAAGATGTTCACCGAAGTTCAGAAAATGTGTTTTCGATTAGGAAACATGACGTCAGTAAAATCGCCATATTAAGTATCCTCCAACATAATCATCGGACATTTCAGTTAATTCAGGATTCTGACTTTCGAATGGTTTTTCTTTTGGAAGTGATAATTTAGTTAGCATGGTTGTTTCCACTTATTTTCTAGGCCCCTATAATTTTATATATGCTTTTTGGAAAACTACAAAAATAGTATTTATTGTAGTCGCTTGGCAGCAGATCACGTCTTCTTTAAATTTTCTGTTTGTAGAGAGTGTAATTTTTCGGTTTTTAAAAAAGTGTATAACCAAATTGTTCAAAAGACATTTTATTGAAAACTAATGGAGAAGAAAACTAGTTAAGTGGACCCTGTTTTGAGAATTTAATTTTCGTGGGAGGTTCGGAATAAACTCATTCAAAAGTCAGCATTATAACGTGATCGAAATAGTTGAGAAATTTGCTGTGTGGTAAGCAACATTATGACTTCACCTTAGCAAAGTCGTCTAACCAAAAACACATGTCAGGTGTCTACTTTTAGGGTCATTTGCAGGAACCAATCAGATGTTGGCAGTTGTATTTTTAAGCTGTCGGCGTGACCCCACCGGTGTATTACCTGAACGGCGAAAAGAAGACGATAAAAATGTGCGAGGACATCAAGGAGGGAATGACGACCTGCAGCACAAACAAAAATAGCATCGGCATCTGTTATTACTCTCCTGGTGCTGAGGGAAAAGCTGGAACGAAAGCTATCCACCTCGTGGGAGGAAAGCCAAATGCATTGAAAAAGACTGCTTTAGTGCCAAATACCTGCCTTCTCTATTTTTGCAGACAAATACTTCTTTAGTATTCAATGATATTTCCTCCGCTTCACCTCAGTTGGGTCAGCCTACCGGCGTGCAGAATTTAAAAAAATATTAGCTCTTAATAATCTCTTCAGTTTTTCTGCTACAAAATTACAAAAGTATTCAGAGCATCGGAAATGGTTGAAGACTTCTGAAACGTACTCGAGTCAAAGTGACCGTTTGTATTGATTTGCGTAATACAAGTTGGGTCGCTGACACCGGAGCCTCCATCTTCATCGCAAAGTAGTGCAGGCGTCGCTTTACAGACCAGCACAAAGAGGTATTATCCGTGCCTTGGAAGGGCGACAACAGAGAGGCCAACTCCGGTTTTCTAGGACTGCGGACCAGACTGAGATGGTTCCTTTTTACCGTGACCTTTCACCTTTGCGAGCAGCCCACATTTGTTCCGAAACGAAAATGATGCCATGTGTGGCACACGCAGATGGGCTGTTTTATCTGGCCTCCAGGGTACCTGTGTCGTGAGATTGTCACAGACCGGTGGGTGCGGGAGAAGAGAGTGCGTTCGATGCTGCACACATCCGTCTCATTATAAACCAATCAACAGACAAGTTACCGCGGTGGTGCCCAGTCTACGAGGTATCAAATGAAAGTTATCTCTTTCAGTGGTAGCACTGTCCGCGGTCATGCTTGCAGTTGGGACATTCACTACTCTGGTAGTGATGACGATCTTGTGTAGTCGCAAAGACGAGAGGATTTTAACTGGCTACCCAAAAGATGGGGGACGAAGGGTGCTGCCGGTGGTGATACTTTTGTAAGCAACACAACCTGTTTGCTTGGTATGGTAAGTGTTCACGGAAAGTGTTGTGAATTGAGGTCGGCAAGACTTTCACTACAGTCGAAAATACTTCTTCTCAATATGTGTACAGTAGGTTACCTGTCTGATGAAATGTTGGAGATTGGGGACTATAACACACATTTGAGGTTGGTTATTTAGTTCATTGGGTTGGATTGAGGCGCAAAATGATGTTTATTATAATTCCATTCTGTTCAGATCAGTATACTGGGAGAAAATAGAGGCGAAAATGCATGAAATTCAGCGTTTGTTGATATCCGAGAAATTTCCTATGCTATTAGATGTTGCGGAAAAGTGCTTCTTGTTAGTGCATGTTGGACTATAAAAGAACGCTCATGAGGAGTAGGAACTGTTTAGTTATATCTGTTCACCAAACGGAAAATTTTGTTTTGCGTCCATGAAATTGAGGTTAGTATTATTATAAGGTTATGCTTTATATTTGGAAAAAGAGGAGCCAAGTAATTTTAAAAAATTCTATTTTGCAAATTTATAAAGTTCTGTACCGTAAAATTGAAAAATAAACTTTTAAGGCTGTTACTTGCCTAACCCC